TCTTATTTTACAAAAGGAAAATACACAAATGTATAACCTTACAGACACACCGTAGTCCAGCTAATTGTTCTTGTTTTTTAGTTAAAGTAAGACCCAGATTTCTCCATTCATTCAGAATGAGTGGGACAGGAGAACAGAGCAGTGTGAATTCAAACAGCTTGAGGGGTTAGAGGCAAAAGTCAGAATTCAGACACCGGGTGCTACCAATTGCTTTCAAGGGAAAGGAATTATTAATGCACCTATTTTCTGATGGTATTGTTCTGAAGTACTAAATGTAACTAAATGTGCACACAAACAACAAAGCAGTATCTGTGTCTTAATGTGTATATATATACGTAATATTTTGTATATAATATGTATTGTTGGTGTTTTCTTCTCTCCATATTTGGCAGTGATTATGTTTGCACATATGGTAGAATGCCACACACTATATTTGTTAGGATTCACATAATAATTCTCAGCAATTATGTTGTATTACTGCTGCTGTATTTGTTTTTGACTTGCTTTATCATATTTTATTATAATTATAATTATGATCCTGATATATTATACATTCTGCAGGTTTCTCAGGCCGCTGCAGAACTGAAGAACTTCTGTTTGCAAAATGCCCACAAAGACCCTCTCCTGACTGGGGTGCCCTCCAGTGATAACCCTTTCAGGCCTCCCAAGTCATGTGTCCTCCTCTGAGGTGAGTGTTCCTCTACTCTCTTTGCCTGAAGTGGGCAGTTTTTTTTATATCATAAAATTATTTTCTACCCTGCTGCTGTGATACTTTTTCTACTGTGCTTCTTGCAGCTGCTGAACAATGAACGTGTTGTGCTTTTGGAGCACAAGACACAGCCCTTAAAGCAAAAATCTATTTCTTATCTTTTTAGGACTGTGAAGAAGTGAAAAAAACACTCTAACAGATGCCTGATCATTCTGATGTGGATTTCCGTCATGTGCCCCACTGCCTCTGAAGATAAAGAAGACAAGACCATGCACACACTCACTCGCACAAACACACACAGAAACATTTTGTAATGCATTGTACCAAATCTGTTAAGATTTATGTGTCTGTACATTTATAAAGCAATTTACTTTTCATGGTACACTATGATAACATGTGCTTTAGTTCATACAAGTCAACCATGCTCTCTAAAACAATGTGCAATTTTATGATTCACCTTTAAAAGTTACCATGTTTGCCATCTGTGACTTGAAGGTGTATTTGACATGAATGTTGTATCTTAGTTTTGAACAAATACCAACTGTTTTACCAAACCAAACTTCACTGATGTAAACAACAGAGAAACAGGGTTAAATGACACTTATGTCTCTGACTTTCTGATATAAGTAGCACATAAATCATCTCTTAAATCTGACAAGATGAAGAACTCTACCAATCAAATGCTGTACACTGGGAAGTAGAATAAACTGAAACAGACTGAGAGTATGAGTTATTTTCTCTTAACAGAAAACCTAGATTACTGTTATTGATATAACAATGTGACGCTACTAAACTTGCCAACTGTTGATCCATCGGTCAGAAGGATCAGACACACCCACACACTTGTCTGTCTATAGTTGTGAGGACACTCATTGACATCATGCATTCCCAGCCCCTTACCCTAACCTTAAACATCACAAATAAATGCCCTTACCCAAACCTAAAACCAAGTCTTAACCCTGAAACAACCCTCTGAATTTTAGATTACATTACATGTCCTTTAGCTGACGCTTTTATCCAAAGCGAATTCCAATTAGTGCATTCAACATCTATGAGGGGGCCATTCAGGGTTCAACTTCTTGCCCAAGGACACTTCGGCATGGGCTGGGATTTGAGTCACTGACCCAGAAGGTTGGAGGTGACCGCTCTTCCCCTCAGCCACAACCCCCCTCCTTCATGAGGACGAGCCAAAATATCCTCACAATGATGATAGTGAACCAAAATTGTCCATCATAACTATAGAAAGACAAGCATACACACACACACACACTCTCTGTACACACACACACACTCTCTGTACACACGGTGTCCATTAAATTATAACCACAATAAACGTATTGTGTGGTGGTGTTTTCCTCTCAGTAATTGGCACTGATTATACTGTTTGTCATACGGTGGGATGTTACACACTGTTGGGATTAATGATTCACACATCTCATACTTAGTAATGTTGTATTACTGCTGTTGTACCGTTAATACTTAAAACAACTTGTTATTGACTGACTAGAGATGCTTTATCACATATCATGAATCTAGTGTATTATTATTATTTTATACACATGTTGTTTTTTTTTTAAACCAAATCGGTTTGATTACTGTGTTAACTTGGGGGGAATGAGAGGCCCTATGACGTATCCCACCAGTACCCCCTCGAACCCTGCTGGGGGCGCTGTTGGGCGGCTGCGGTGTGGACGCCCGCTCTGCCTCCAGCAGAGAGCAGTGCGCGGTGGTTGGATGTGAACGCCGCCGACCTGTCTCGACTTCCAGATCGAAGATGGCGGTCTCGGTGTTTCCCGGCGTGCGGCTCCTCTCCATCGGAGACGCGAATGGAGACATACAGCGACACTCAGAGCAGCAGCCGCTGCGGCTAGAAGTGAAAACCACACAAGACGCTGCTCTCATCAATCTCTCCAATGGTGAGTTGACCTTTTCCTGCCGTTGCTCCTCGGTGCGTCGGCCTCTGTTCTCCGGTGCTAATGCTATGCAGTGCTAACGCGAACACAGCTAATGTTGGCCATACGTAGCGCTAGCCACCACGAAGCTAATCCATCTTGAGACCACGTCGCCTCCCCCCTGCTCGTCACGAGGGAGCCCGTTAAACTCCCAAATTTTCTCCGCGACGGTTTGGATCTTCTCGGGGCTTTGTTAACTTTAGGTCCCGGTTCCCTCACAAGTTCACCGCAGTGGGGGACCTCGACTGAAATACAGCGCCAGTCACACACACGCAACATAGCTTAATCCGCGATAAGAGTGCGCGGGGCAGCGCTGTGTAGTTTAATGCTAGTTAAACAATGCCACGAGCCTGGCTCCAGCAATGATGCGCATCAGACCCGCTCGCTCCAAACGTCTTTTGCCCTTGAGGCATTAGCCGCGTGTTCAGCCATGTATACACGCGGAGTGTGTTTTTATATAATGTGGACATACTCAGTTTTGCCCCCCAGAGACCCGTGTATCGGCACATCGCTGTTTGGCTTGTGAATTAGCCCGTGTGGAAGTGGTTTGGAGCCGGGAGCAGAGGGCATCACTCCCCGGGTCGCCTCTGTGCCCCGGGCGGCCGCCGCTGCCACAGCGCTGTGTTTACCCGGCAGCCCGCGTCCTCTTTACAGCGGAGAACGCTTCAACTTTTGTTGAAGCTTTTGCGTTTCATTTGGCCTGAGCAGAACATGAGGGACGTTCTGCGTGGAGGAGCGAGACCGGGCCCTCATTACTTATGCATTCATCTTTGTTCTCATCGGAACAATAGACGCTTCCCCGCCGCCTTCTCCCCTCCCGTTGCGGACGCAGGATCGGAGCCGCTCCTCCGCAGCTTTTGTTAGTCGGTGGGATGTCCTGCTGAAAAGAAGCGGCCTCCGCTGCTGTGATGCTCCACTGAAAGACACACACACACACACACACACATTTAAGGGAGTTCACAGCATTGAGCATCAGGTTTTAGTGTAAGTTGCCGATCCCCCCTCATGCATCTTCACATAAAAAGAAGACCCTGGAAAAACACGATTTTAAACTTGAGTACAATACAGGAAATAGAAAATGGGAACACAAATGCAGAATTACACACAGTAATACGGGGAAAAACCTCCAATGTATTAAGTTGCTTTCAGTTACTCTAGGATAATCTACTGACATTATCCGGAGAGGCTGGCTCTGGACTTTCTCTGGATTGTCCCCCTGCCAGCCCCCTAGTAAAAGTTAAAGTGAGGCCATGACAGCAGGAGATTCATTGAAGGATTCACTGCAAGCAAAGGGTTGTGTTGATGACGTTTTTAACATGAGACAGATGCAAAACTGATTAAGAAAAAAACCCACAAGAAGTATCTCAGAATGAAAAAGTGGTGCGATACATGTAGAGGACGCAGACGAACAACCTGACACAGTGTCAATGTGCAGCAGAATTCATTTGTTGCGTCCTGCCTCTGCCTGTTTCGCCACCCTTCACCTGAACGCTCGGACATTTCTGTGCGGTTGAATCTCCTGCTCCTGATTTGTGCAGATCAACCTTGAAAAAACAGATCTAAAAGCCACTGAGCAAAAACATCCGATTTGGGTCACTTTTGCCTGCTGTCTTAAGGTAACTTTGATGAATGGCATGTGCTTGGAACTTACTAAACTGCAATGAGGACTCTTGTCAGCACCAAGGGAAAAAGATTGTCTGGTCTGATGAGACAAAAACTGAATCTTTGAACTTATCTTCTACTTGTTTTTTTTTTTTCTTGTTTTAGAAATGTCATCAACCACACACCCACTTGCTTGTGGTGAATCTCCCGCTGTGTTTTCACACATGCTCACTGACACATTATTCAGAGTTTTTACAAGGAGGCTGACAGAAGAAACTCTGGAGAATGTCCGACGGACATTTATGATCTCACATACAGCCCCTCATTTTCATTATCCAGAGTTCAGTGCATGTTGGAAAATGGCTTGAAGGTTCAGTGTGTAGAATTTAGTGGTGAATTTGCATGTTGCAGCTGAACACCCCTCACCTTACCCCCCCCTTCCAAACATTAAAAATAAACCATGGTAGCCTTCATGAAAACTCAAAAGGTGTTTAGTTTGTCAAGTCCGGACGACCGTAAAGAAAACATGGCGGCTTCTGTAGAGAGGACCCCCTCCCGATGTAAATATAAAGTATTTTAGTACAAACGCGCAATTGTAGGGTAAAGAAACAATATTTGTATAATTTAGATGAAACACACTAATGAAAACATCGCTAGGATTCGTTTATATTAAATTTCTGCAAATAGATGGACCTTTAAGAGTGATATTTGTTAAATTATTTGTTAAATCCAAATGTAAATTTAAAAAAATTGAATAATATCTGTAGCATATTCTTGCAGTATAGATATTGTTTGGGAAAGCCTAACAAAGAAGAGATATGCATTAGGCTTGATTAATGTGCCACTTATCAGACAGCATGAATGTTTTCATTCATTGGACTAGTTGTGTTTAATCTGAATCTTGGTGAATTTGCTTATTTAATGTAAGTCAGTGCTTCCCACAGAATTGGAAGCTTTCAAAGAAAGCGGTAGTATGTTAACCCCAGGACTCCCGCCACAGAAACTCCTGCTGCTCACAGTCACACAGAAGTCTGCAGCTGTTTGCTCTGACATATGTTGCATTATGAGCAGCTGGCTAGTATGTAGTCAGTCTGTTTCCAGGTCCTGGCTAATTCTCTATATCCATGATGGAGAGGAGCAGAATAAATCGACAGTACGGTTGAGTCAGCAGGAGCAGCATTGAAGAGGAAACGGCCTAGTGAGAAATACGCCAAGTCGGCCCTGTTCACAAACAGCTGCACTGACTCATTTGATCAAGGCTCATTTCTCTCACTGAATTGCAGAAATAAAAGGGGGGAAATAAATGTCCTTCTGCCTTTCCTAGTAAATTCCTTTCATTGAACAGAATTGTGTTTATAAGAATTCGATCTTCTTTTAGGGAAACACCCAACATCGTCATTAAAGGGGAAGTACTCTGATTTTAGACACACTCTATGTCCGTTCTCAGTCTGTGAAAACAGCATCTGGATGGCTCCTCCATAGTTATGTCAACTGAGTTGCCTCAACATAGGATGAGAGTAGAAACCTAAAGCCAACAGTAAGGTTTTCCTATGATCTGCAGTTTGAAAGATTTGGGCATTTTCTTGGCAGGAAGGCTAAAATGAAATATAAGATCCAGCTCTTTTGCAGTTTGATGCACATGTAGACTGTCAGGAAGAAAGTCTTGAAATATCTGGTGCTGCTTTGATAAAACAAACAGGCTATCTAAAAAATACTACATGTTGAGGTCTTGTGATGTCCTAATAAACTGACAAACATCCCTCAAATTGTTTAACATCCTAATTTATATGGATTTTTTATCTCAATTTCCCTGCTTTATATTATTTTTCTGGTTACGGTGACAAGAAAACACATCTTGAGTTGTTTCTTTTCCGTCTCATTTCTAGCTGAGATTTGATGATCTTGTGTAAGTGATTGAGAGGAGAATTGAGGACTGAGGTGTGTAGCTGGCTTCTCTCCAGTAGATCCATGTCTTTAAATCTGAGGCGCTGCTCTTAATCTGTTTGTACGTGCTAGATTAGTTCAGCCTTCTTTATGACTCTGAACTGGTTTTTCCAGACTGCAGGTGTGTTTGCATAGAGCAGTATTCTACATGCAGTCCTCTTAGCCTGGCTCATCTGCCCCTAAGTATTACTTCTTTGTGTTTTGTTGACAGAATGTTTTTTTGAGGTCAGTAACTCTGAGTTATGTAATTCCAAGAGAGGATGAGTTCACAAATAACATTTATGACTTTTTATGTGTCAGTGTTTTGTTAGATCAGCTTTATTAAGCAGATCATAGATTTTCAATAAAGGTTTGACAAATTACATTTAAATTCCTTGTGACATACTTGTGGCGTGCAGGATCACGCCCAGTACTGTGTGAAAATTTGGATTCTGTGGCCTAATTAGTTTAAAATGCCTTATATATACACTGTATATATGTATATTATAAAGTAAGTAAACAAGAATAGCACAATTAAGACAGTGTTTTCTATAACAGGTGATGGCCAGCTTTGTCTGGTAAGCTAACTGTCATGCAAGCAAGAAACCTGGTGTCTTTATCAAGAGAGGAGACTAGTGAAAGCAGAATATGGAAATTGAAATAAAACTTGACTAACAAGATAATTGCAAAGGATAAAGTTTTACTAATTTAGTTTGCACTCACCACTTCTTTCATAGCCAGACTTGTAGCGATGTTTCTCAGAGGGGAGCTCATTTTGTTTTTATTTTGTTTTTGTAAAGACACATTGAAATATTGAATCCTGATCACATGGGGCGTTGACCTCACAGAGGTAGTACTCCCTTCAGTACTCAGTGATTTGCAATGTTGTAAATTTCCCAGTTATGGGATTAAAAAAGGATCATTTTAGTATAGCTTATCATTTTAATTTGATATCCAACCTGTATAATCAAATGGAAAGGTATCAGGTATCAAACTTAATGCCTAACCCAAACCTACTCCTAACCCTCACCCCAAAACCAAGTCTTAACCCACAAACAGCTCTTTGCACTTTCCAAACATGTCCTCGTTCTGTAGGGTCTATGCTTAAATTGGTTCTCATTCAGAAATAATTCAGGAACACACACACACAGACACCTGCTGAATGGTGACTTTGGTGCACATGCTTGTTTGTTTGTGGATGTAAGGAAGGGTCTCCTTCACTTCATACCAGCCTATGTCAGCTGACCACATTGTATATTGCACAAGTTATGGTGGTAACATCCTACCCAGCAGCACATAGCAGAGAAAACCCTTCTGTATAATCCTCTTTGAGAAACATTTGCTTAAAACTACAGTGTCCATCTGGAAATCACTGAACTTGATCAACATAGCTGTTTTTGCTCTTTAAATCGGGTTTATAAACTGTTATCAGATTATATAAGAATTTAATCATTTGTACTGCAACTGCATTTTGTTTGGTATCCCTGTTGTTTTGTGAAGACATATTTGCAAATATAAATGTAAATACAGGGACAAGATAGATATCATCATCAGTGGGTTGGGAAAAGTCTCACCTGATATTTGCTGTTCATTTAAAAAATGGTGAAAATCCTGCAGTATGTATGAGCAAGGGGACGAAGATAAAGAGGCTGAGGCTGTATTGTGTTTAGCTCTCCCACACAGGAGAGGGTTGTGATAAATGTTAAATGTGTGACTAGCAGCAAGTAAACAGTCTCTTGGCCGGTCATGCAAAATGAAATGTAAAAGCTCAAAATATATGTTTTGAAATCACTTTATCAACATACTGTGCGTCACACAGCTGTAAATTTCAGTGGCTGTATGCAAGTATGTCTCCCGCTGTCCTAACTCTTTCTATCTTCTCCATTTCATTCCAGGAGAGGAGGCGAGTGTGTTCAAGTGTTCCGTTTCCAGGGAGACCGAGTGCAGCCGCGTGGGGAAGCAGTCGTTCATCATCACGCTGGGCTGCAACAGCGTCCTGCTGCAGTTCTCCTCACCGGCAGGTATGCAGAAAATGTCCCAGCACAATAAGACTGTCACACCAAGTGACAACAATAAGTCAAATTTGCAAATAGCAGCTCAGGAGGACTTTACTGTTTAACTATACATACACTGGAAAAATTCGAGAATAATAATACGTCTTCAGTGAGGTATTCAAGTAACTAAATACATGTGTTCCTCCTCAGTGCTGACTCCAGCACCATCTTGGCTTAGCATTCTGTCTTTTAATAACCTCAGAGTGAGCTGGTGTGCCAAAGTTTGTTATGTAAGCTTTGAGATTGTGTTCCCCACACACTCGATACACTCTCCACGGAGTGTGGAGCAGGTGTAATGTAAAAGTCCATCTCACCCTGACACACACCCCTTTTTCTCAATGAATAGCAGATGTCAAGTTATAGTAACATGGACGAGCTTATTAAGCTTAGGATATGTCCAGGTGTTGAAGTGCTGTGCATGGGGCTAAATGGTAAATTAACTTTATTCATATAACAAAGCGCTCGACAGTAAAAATTGCATTCACCCATCCAAACATTCATACAGCGGTTCTATACACATTGCTTTTCATATCACACACCACTTGGTGACCAGGGGCTGGGTTTGGGGGGTTTGGGTTTCACTATCTTGCCCAAGGATACTTCAGAAAGCACACAGGAAGAGCCAGGGATCAAACCACTGACCTTCTGGTTAGTGGACGATCCTGTCTATATGTAGTAAGAGCGTCTGTTCTCTCTCTTTTTATTTGTTGCAAAATGAACCTAAAATATAATATCCTTTGCATTTCCCAGCTGCTGCTTATTTTCCACAATTGTACCAAACATCTGGTTAAAATGTAAAATATGTTTAACAGGGAAGTTAGTATCTGCAGCTCTTAGGGGTCCTTTTGTGTCCCAATGCTTCAAAAAACGTATAATGTGCTACCAAGAAAATGTCAAATGTAGGGGTGGATGTGTAACAAGACACTGTTGATCCAATGTGCACACACTCAAATGGGTTTTAAGCAAGTCAGTGTGTTAACCTCACATTCATGTACTCATTTCTGATCCACTGTGTTTGAGCAGTTTCAAATAATGATGTCTAATGCTGCTACAGCACGACCTGTAATTGTTCATGTTTGTGTTCCTCTTCAGACTTTCAGTCTTTTTATAATCTCCTGAAGAACTGTCGTGGACATCTTAGTGAGCACTCAGTCTTCAGCGACAGAACAGAGGAGTCCTCCGCTGTACAGTACTTCCAGGTGAGAGGAATGCCCTCGTGCAGACACATAGACACACAGAAGAGACAAATATTGTGGAAGTATGGATAGTTCAGTACTCGCTGTCTTAACCATGACAATGCTTTAAATCTGTTTGTTTCATAACTTCCTTTCTGATGCTGTCTTTCACTATAGTTTACTTTTCTGTACTTTCTTAGGAACAAACCTTCAAAACTTCCCTTTTTAAAAGTCACAAATCAATTCTACAAAGCATTAAAAAATTCTACTGAAATTACATATTATTTTTTGGCAAATGACATGCTCTGTGAATTATGTGTTTGGTGTCCTCTTCTGAGAAAAAACACTGAGATCCCTGAAGGGTTTTGGTCTGAGAAGACGTCACCTACCTGTGCTTACCAGTAGGCATGTGGTTCTCCTCTGACTGAAGAGGCAGAACTTCATTGGCTTTCTGCAATGGTGTCAGACAGCAGCTTGCTAGACAGCACAGCACGGGCCTCAGACTTTGAGCACAAACACATGTTGGTGTTCTTACTAACGTCTCCTGAAGAAGCTACCAAACAAACAGAGAAAGTGCCCTCGCTAGAATCATTTTACAGAACACAGCTAATGAGTTAGTCAGCTGCAGCACATTAGAAAGCTTAAATGCTTACTTGTTGGTTGGTTCAAATGCTAACTGGGTTTGTCCATATGTTTCAACAGCACTGCTTAGAAAATACCACCTGTCTTTGGTTTAAGTTGCATCTCACAGGGTTTTATTTCTGCTATTAACGAGAATCATTAACTGCATTCTAAAAAAAAAACTGTATCTCATTCGGCTGGTAAACAGGGTGACATCATTTTATTTTATTTATTAAAGTGTCCAGATATTTGTTTATGTCCTTATGTCACCCAGTTGGCTTGTACATTGACTTCTTGTCTTTCTGCAGTTTTATGGCTACCTCTCCCAGCAACAGAACATGATGCAGGACTACGTTCGGACAGGGACTTATCAGCGGGCTATTCTCCAAAACCACAATGACTTCAAGGACAAAGTACTTCTTCTACACTCATCTTACACATTTTTCTTCTTCAGGCTGAATATAGAAGTCGATCAAATTGTTTCCCAGATTATATTTACAGTCATTATTTATTTGACTTTTATGTTCAAAGGGTTATATCTCCCACACAGTTCTCTCAGTATGGATGTAAACCTATAAAGTTGAGACTTGGCACTTCAATCTAGTACCAATTATTGTATAAGCTTTTCACAAACTAAGTGTTTTACTGACCAGATATTTGTTGTCTGGGCTGTCTGATGGTGTTACGTTCAGTTATCTAAATGGGCAGGGTTTAATTTCTTATGGGCTTTTAAGGTTGTGCATCCCTATAAACAAACAGTAGAACACATTGAAATTTGATCCTTCGTTTTTAGCTGTGTGTTTGGTTTGTTTAGTACAAAGTCCTACTGACTGGATGGTGAGTAGCTGATCCGACTGGTTTTAGTTATCTGTCTATGCAGACAGTCAGTGTAATAACACCCAGTTTAAACAGTATTTCATTATTTATTAATCAACGAAATGTAACTTGTTTCTGATGGAATTCTGAATTATAGTGAACTCATTTGTTGTTTTGTTAAAATGTGCTGAAAATGTTCAAGATATACTGATCTCATTTTCAGGTTTTATATTTAAAAAAACATCATCATCACAATTTACACTGGATACTGTCTGTGATGCTGGTTGAAATGAATTCAGTAAATCGTGTGCTTATAAAATCAGTCCAACCACTATGAACAAAGCATGTACATCAGATATCATGTGCTGATGATTTATAGAATAATGCAAAACGTGTAACGAGTGTGGAGGAGAGAAGGTTGACAACTGCCCCCAAACACCTGATATTGAGGACTAAACATGAGTTTGTTAAAAGCTCGCCATTTTGCGACAGTGGATGCTCATGGTTGCTAGGTATGTCCAGAGCACCAGCAGCTCGTGTTGTTGCAGGATCAACCAATTCACGACGGTAATCATGGCAATCAAAGATTGAAACGGTACAACTATCGTCAGGAATCTTACCATGGTATACTGTGAAACCAGTGACCTTGCTGACAGTGACGTCACGTTTCCTGTTCTCTGTTGTCCAGGTGGTGCTGGATGTTGGTTGTGGCTCGGGGATCCTCTCTTTCTTTGCAGCTCAAGCTGGAGCCAGGAAGGTCTATGCTGTGGAGGCCAGCACCATGGCACAGCATGCTGAGGTAAATATTATTATCAGTGACCTGACTCTGATGTGGTTTGAGCCACTTCATTTATAAGCTCTGACTTTGATTATTCAAAAAGAAGACCGCCATTAAGATAAATTATTTCCTGCCGTAGTAAATAAATTCTGTGCCTTGCAGGTGTTGGTGAACAGTAACCGTTTAGGCGAGCGTGTGGTCGTCATCCCGGGGAAGGTGGAGGAGGTGACGCTGCCCGAGCAGGTTGACATCATCATCTCAGAGCCAATGGGCTACATGTTGTTCAATGAGCGAATGCTGGAGAGCTACCTGCATGCCAAGAAGTTCCTCAAACCCAATGGTGAGAAGATTAGGAGCACAGCAGAATGGGGCATGTCAGTTTATTAGGAACACCCAGCTTAAACTAATGCAGTCTAATGCAACAGTCGAAGGATGTTTATTTAATGATGATCAATTGGGCAGCTACAATTTGTAGTGCTGTTCAACTGTATCGCATTATACAAAGACATGTCTGTTATATAGCCTACCCTCACTAATTTGAATGGGATGGACAAAATAATTCAGTTTCAAAATGATTTTGTCATTTTAGAAAATGCTGACCTCATTCATTGTTTTAGCTTGCTGGCAGAACATTACTTTGCTTGACTCACTTCTTTGTGTGTGTGTCCCAGGTAAAATGTTCCCCACCATTGGTGACGTCCACCTGGCTCCCTTCACAGACGAGCAGCTCTACATGGAGCAATTCACCAAGGCCAACTTCTGGTGAGACTGGATAAACTGGGTCTTCCTACAACCTGACCTTTGAAAACCTTTTTTGCCTGGTCCTTCGCTGTTTTTGCATTTGATGCACTTAACCACAAAGGCAACAGAGGAACCATTTGTTAATAAAATGCAGCCAGCTTGTTGAACCCTTCATTGTTTTTCAAGCAGAATTAGAACTTGAACTGAAGTCCAGACATTTTCCAGAATTTTTTCCGGAGGGGCTGTATGTGAGAAAGCAAATATCCGAGTAAGTTGCTTCTGACATTTGCTGAACCTTGTTCTGTCCGTCACCTAGTAAAATGTAAGGAAGGAGTGAGTCCTTGTGAGAATACAGCAGGAAAGTTTCCAAAAAATTTTGTGTGCATTGGTGTGAAGTCTCCTTCGCCTCTTCCCATATGGCAGGACAGACATTAACTGTGGGAGGGGTCCCCTGAAACACTGTGTGGATGATACATGTCCAGCAGGGAGGAGGGACGGAGGCACCCATGATTCAACTTACCAGTTGTCATCACCCGCCTGTTTAGATGTTTTTGTTTGCAAACCTATTAGTCCCCAAAACGGGTATTAATGCAGTTAGCCAACGGTGTCCTGTAGAAAATGATGAGAACAAGGGTGGGGAGATTTACCTCCTTCAGCCTTATGCTTTATTACCGCCCTTCCCATACTTTGCACTCAACATCATTTCCACTTTATTTTTCGGCTGGCTGCTCACCTTCCCACTTTTTTAACTTGTTGCACACCATACACAAACATGGATCAGCTGGAGACAGGAGACAACAGGTTAGTCTGGACAGACTTCTCTATGCTACCGCATTAATGAAGGAGCATAGAAATTCTCAGATGGCTTTTGAGGGGAGATCACAGAGACGATTGATAAAAATGAGACATTCTAAAGGAACTATTTAAAAAATGCTGCGACAGGTTTGTCAAGGCAAGAAAGCACACGCAAACCCGAAGCGGTGCTCTCGGAAGAAACAAACCTATTCCAATACTATTCAGTTTGTGTTTTTTCTTGTTTGCCTTTTCTGGCAGTGGTGTCGTATGAATCTCACGATTTGACACCGGATAAGACTGGACCGAGTACTAGTGCCTCAAGTGCGAGTATAAAATGGAAACTGTCATGTTGGCGGGCACAAGGACCAGTCTGTCAAGCATTACTGTAGTTAAAGAGCCCAGTCACACATACATGAATGTATAAAGAAGTATCGATATGAAGTATAAATCTTCACTTCAAGTGTAAATCAAATTGCAGTGTCGCTTTGCATAGAGTTGAACTAAGGTGAACCCATGATATTCACTTCACATTTGTGAATGAGCGACTGGGCACTAAAGCTTCACAACTTTGACAATGAACCTTATTGGTTCAAAGTGTTTTGTTGTCTGCAAACAAAGACATCATTCTGATTTTGACTGAAGAACACTTAAAAAACCCTCAATCTGATCTTTTGGTCCTCAGGTACCAGCCCTCGTTTCATGGCGTAGACCTCTCTGCCCTGCGGGGGGCAGCTGTGGATGAGTACTTCCGCCAGCCAATAGTTGTAAGTTATCCACCACACATGCACACAGGGGCTTACATTTAAGGATGAATTAAATGACTGGACATGGCAGAGAGACTCTGGGTTCTCACTAGAGGACTTTTTCTTCACTCAGTGAAGTTTACTCTTACAACATCCTGGTTCATGAAACCAGCCTGAGAAACCAGTCACTGTACATTTACTTTGCCTGATTATACTTTTGTAAATGTGGTAATCAGGTCTTCTTTGCTTGAAATACAGTCTTGCATGTGAGCTGTGTGAAATTAGACTTGATGTTTTGCTCTAGTATTATCTCATATGACGAGCTGAAATTTCCCTCCTCAGGACACATTCGATATCCGTATTCTGATGGCCAAATCGGTCAAATACACAGTGAACTTCCTGGAGGCCAAAGAAGATGATCTTTACAGGTGTGTGTGTGTGTGTGTGTGTGTCTGTCTATATGTGTATGGTTGCTTGTTTTTCATATGAATAAGTATATTAAATATATGGATCATACCCATATGTAATTAACGTGTCCCCTTCCAAACCTTTTCCTTTGGATCACAGGATAGAGATTCCCTTTAAGTTCCACATGATGCACTCTGGCCTGGTACACGGCCTAGCTTTCTGGTTTGATGTGGCATTCATGGGATCAATGTAAGTCACACATAGACATGTGGACAGTTGGAATGAGTTGAATCTTAAGAAATACATTTTATTAGTCTCACACAGTTGACTTACCCTCACCACACAACCCCTCTTGCGTCTCTCCTGCAGGGTGACAGTATGGCTGTCCACAGCACCCACAGAGCCTCTCACCCACTGGTACCAGGTGCGCTGTCTGCTGCAGTCTCCCCTCTTCACCAAGGCTGGGGATACACTATCTGGAACTGCAATGCTGGTGGCCAACAAGAGGTATGATAACTGTGTACTAAAAATAATTTTGTTCTCTCTGGCATTGTTGTCCACCTATTTCAAGTTAGAAAATTAAATTTTAAAATAATTTTGCAAAACAAATATTTGCCCTGAATCTGAAGGCAAAGAATAGTGGTTCTGTTTTGAAATAAAATTGAGGAAAACGTAACTTTAAACTGAAAGGGACCAAACAAATGGCAAGTGCTTAACTAACTACATTAAAGGAATAGAAAAGAGGAGATAGAAATGACCAGTACAAATGAATTGAAATTGTGCAAAAAGGAGAAAACAAACAAAGCATTTATGTCAAGAGGTGTTGTGTAAAAAGTGAATTCCCTGCTGGCCTCAGTTACAGCTTTTGTACAGATAAGTATAAGAGCTGCAGCACAGACAATGACACTTCCCCACTTTAAAACGTTGAAGAGAAGTTAAATGACGTTCAAAGTTTTTAATTATCCATAGTAACCATGGAAACATTATTTTGATCATTTCACACTTCACACAAATCAGTCCTCCACTCAGCTATAATGTTAATACAAACTAAAGCTCCAGTCAGTATAAACTGAAGTCTTCAAATTGACGATTTACTTGTCAGTGTTTTACCTCCGTGTCTTTGTGATTTAAACTTATGTAGACACTGTAGCTTTGCTCTACGCCAACGCCTCTGAGTCTCTGCTGATTGCCTGGCAACCTCTGTGACAACAACACTCCTGGATGTTACCGTAGCTGGTCAAAAAATAGTCGAGCACATACCCCTCCGTAAAACCACAGTTATTTTTACATTTGGTTTTTGTACGGATTAAACAGAGTTATGACATGTTGATCAGTGAACTTAAGAGGCTTGCCTGTAGATGGATTTAGTTACTTTTGGACAAAGCCAGGCTAGTTGTAATCCCTTTTCCCAGTATTCATGTTCCCAATACAGGCTGCAGGCTGTATCCTCATGTTTAGCATACAGACAATGTATGTTTTACGTTGTCATGTAACCAAGCAAGAAAGCCAAAAAGCACATTTCCTAAAATGTCAAAGCAGTCATTAAAGTCCCAGGGCACCCCTCTGAATATCTGAGCTCTCATGTGCATTTGTTGTAATTACTAATGATACAAATCCGATCCCCTTTGCCAACAGGCAAAGCTACGACATCAGTATTGTTGCCCAGGTGGACCAGACAGGATCAAAGTCCAGCAACCTCCTGGACTTGAAGAACCCCTTTTTCAGGTGAGTTGCTCTCCTGACCCCCGTCAACACATCTGTATGTAGATGGCGCTATACATGGGCTGAGATGGGGAGCACGGTATGTCTCTCTAATTTCCAATATGTGTGTGTATGTAAATGCAGGTACACAGGCACCACCCCCAACCCTCCTCCTGGCTCACACTACACTTCCCCATCTGAAAATATGTGGAACACAGGTGGAGCCTACAGCATGAATCAGGGGATGGCTGTATCAGGTGAACAGACACATAAACACTGGTAGATGAAACATATCCTCCAGGTGTTTACCAAAGCTTCAGGTTTCCTGAATGTCACCGAACATTTGAGAGTCAGGAAGAGCTCTCTGGATATGGGGACTTACTGAGTGTTGGCTAGTCATTTTCTATGTGTGAGGTATTGCATTGATTCTTAACCAAAGCTGGTGTGTTCATAGCAAATCATTTTTAGGCCTGCATTTCAGTTATATCCTAAGGTGTCTGGAATCGCTTATAAGGTGGCATCAAGGAATACTGGGGTCACAGGGCTCCAGACTAACATTTTAAACATGTAAAATGTAGCAAATAATTTAGGGGGACCTAAAATTTTTCATTGCACCTTTTGGCACCGCAATAATACACCTATTTGACCTTTTCTTGATCGTGCACTTATACATTGGTGTTTTCTTGACTGGGGCTGGGTATCAGCACTAATTGCTCATATCAATTTGATACCGATTCACAAAGTCTAGAAAGGATTTCCGATTCGATTCAATATTGATTTAG